CATGCTGCTTTTGGATGCATTCAACAAAGATAGAGCATCGCTGCCTCAACCCCTTCCAAATCCACCAGCATTGGCACCTCTACCTGTACCTGCACCTGATCCCCGTACTCAGGAGATGATAAATGAGAAGCTAAAGAAAGCAGAAGATCTTGGTAAAGTATTTTTTTATCAAACTTCTTAATGATATCTCAACTTAAAACATAAATCGTTTGTGCTTGTATGTTTATGGATTGATAATGGCAATATTTAAGTTAGTTGTTTTTGAAATTAACAATTTGACCATTTCTTGCTTATGTTCTGTGCGTTTTTGCCTCTATTTCGTTTTTCTTCTGATAGAAACTACTAGCTCTTTATTGATGAGTTGAGTTCTGAGCATATTCCTTGAGAAAAGGATTTATGCTTGTTATTTTCAGTTTTACAAATTTGTAACTGTAGTAAACACTGTTGTGCTGCTTTATTTTATTTTCTTATTTACCCAGTTTTGCTTAATTGTAGTTCTCTAAGCTTTCTGTTGATTGTTTAGGTGAGAAAGGAATGGTGGATGAAGCACAAAAAGCATTGGAAGAGGCTGAAGCACTTAAGAAGGTTTTCAATTTCTGACTTTTGGCATACTATTTTGTTTCTTGAATTTTTCATATATTTGTTACTTCAATTTTCATGCTTAACTTATTTTGGCAAAAAAAAAAAGGCCTTTCCGGTTATCTCTTTTTATTCTTTGGCTAAATATCCTTTTTGTCTACAATGGTTTCTCCCTTTCTGTTCAGCTGCCTGCCAGACAAGAGCCTGTTCTGGATTCCTCGAAGTACACAGCTGCTGATGTCCGCATTGTGAGTCCATTTTCCTATCTATCTGAACCAAATACAACTTAAAATGTAAATTGGAATTAGGGTGCTGTTTCAAATCACACAGCACACACGTTGAGATGAAGTTTGGAATGTAAAACTTGGTCCTGTCCATCCTGACTATAATAATTTGCTGCACATAAATGTAAAGATGCATATGCAAGCTCAGACTTACTGAAATTAGTTCAATGCATTGCTATAAACAGCTTAGAATCAGAGCCTTAAAAATCAAAATGTTGAAATAGTAAAGTTAAGAGTTTGACATGAGTTTTAGTAGCATGCTGCTTCCTCCTGTTCAGTAACTTAAAACATTTATTTGACTTCACTTTTGGATACAGAGATGTCTCTGTTCTGAGACAGGTATGTTGGGTATATCTGCATGAGTTGTTGAGCTTGGTTTTGTTTTGGTTTGTGAAAAAAAAAATCAGCATACAATCATTTAAGATGGTTGTTTCTTTCATAGGCTACTGCCTTAGTTCTCCCTAATTTGTTTTATGAGCTTCTTGGGTAAATTATATAAAAATAGTCATAACATACTAATGTGTCCTAAAATTTGTGGATAAGACGTGAGAGATTTGTGGATGATTACCCTCTATGATTCCATTGAATTCAATGATTCAAATTTCAGAGCATTTAGGTTTTGGTTGTTTTCATCTGCTGATCTGTTCTAACTTTTCCTATTTAATCCATTGAATTACAATGGCTGTTACAGACTGATCAAAAGCTTCGTGTTTGTGACATTTGTGGAGCATTTTTGAGTGTTTATGACAGGTAAATGTTGATCCTGTCTCTCCTAGCTATTACCGTGTTATTTTAGCTTGTTTTGAGGGCTTCAAAGAAATTAGTGTTTGGGGTTTCAAGTGCTTCAGCTTTTGACCCGACTATTATACCTCCTTGTCACCAGCAGGCTTTTGGGCCCAGTTTTACGAGGATAACTTTTGCAGCTACATAATGTGCGTCTTTTCTGTTTTATGTGCTTGTAGATCATGCTATTGCTAGATAATAAATTATTAGGAAGCATTTTAGTGCTTGTCTCATGTATTTTTATCTTCTGAGGTGAAGTATTTTGATTTTCTTTCTTCCTTTCAGTGACCGACGTTTAGCAGATCATTTTGGAGGCAAACTTCATTTAGGCTATATGCAAATCCGGGATAAACTAGCAGAGCTTCAAGTAAGATGATTATTTTACTCACTAATGTTGTCTTTTTTTATATATATAAATTAATACAAATAGGGATTGCCATGAAGATCTTCAATTAACAGAGTTCACTTGCAACTTATTGTGATCCCAGTGTTAAGTGTTGTGTTTTAGTTATCAGATGTCATTTGAATGCTTTTTGATATTGAATTGAATGAATACACCAAACAGATGCTGCTGTGCTTTGTAGGATAGATCTATTTATTATTTCATCTTGTTTTGAGACATCCTTAAGTTGGTATTGTGAATATGTTGGTTCAGGTGCTGGTATAATGTTTCACATTCTTCTATACCGATTCTCAGTTAGGGTGCCCTCTGTGAGTTTTTCTAACCTCGGAGATGAATAATACCCTCCCATTTTCTAATCTTTCTGGTTGTAATTTGGATACTGGACTCTGACAAACAGAGTATCTTTTCATTGATGTACCTTAGCATATTGAACTTGGGATTTGGTCAGATCTGACATGCACTGGTACTCACTTATTATTAAAACACACAATGCACTTGCTGTAAGGAAAGAATTAATATAGGAGCGAAAAAGAGTGGAGGAGGGGGTGGAGGAAGAAGAAGAAGAAGAAATTTGTATTCTACAGACCTAATGTACAACTCTTTACTTATGCCGTTGACTGGGACTATAGAAAGTGAAATATAACTTGCAAAATAATTCAGAACTGCAGGCACGATGTATTTTGCACTCTGGTCCCATATGATCAAATTTAGTGCTGGTTTCCAAACTAGTTTTTGTAGTTTGTTCCATTTTACTGCTGAGAAGATGCAGATGTTTTGAGACTGTGCATGGTGCTTTCAGTTTTGTTACTTAAGTTATTATATGAGGTATTTGGAGGTTGTATCTGCTTTTACGTTGCTATTTTTCATTGTAATGGTTTAAGGCTTACTGATTTATGCCTACCATCAGAAAATTTCCCTTATAGTCCTTGTGGCAATTACATAAAAAATTAGGTGGCATTTTCTGTTATTTGAAGAATGTTTTCAGTAGCAGTTTCTTGGTAATTATTTTTGACAGGAAGAAAGAAACAAGAGCCGCAAACTTGATCGGTATGATGACAGAAGGTAATTTGTACCATTTTTTTTATCTTATTTGGAAAAGGGGCCGGGAGAGATGGTTCAGTTTTCTTTCATTCTCCTCTAATATTTCTGTGTTACTGATCAAATAGATCAAAGGAACGAAGTAGGGATCATGACAGAGAATCCAGTCGGGATCACGACCGAGGAGATAGCCGTGACCGAGGGAGGGACTATGATCGTAGGAGCAGGGACCGGGACAGGTATTATGATCGAGATCGTGGATATGATCGGGATCGTGAGAGAGATTATGAGCGCTCACGCAGTTATGATTCAAGAAGTCGTCGCAGGTCACGTTCTCGGTCTAAGGAACGTTCTAGGGATTATGATCGCCACAGGTAGTTGGTTGTTGTATAGGTCTCATAAAGCTTGTTTTCCTGCCAATTTATGCATGAATTCAGATTTTAAAATGATGATTTGATATTCTTAAGTAAATTTACAAAGGATAGTCAACAGGGGGCTTGGCCTTATTCCTGCTATAGATAATGATATAGAAAACATTCTGAGAGTTATGTTGATTATTCTTTAATTCTTTCTCTTTTTAGGATATTGTGATGAGATATCGATTATTCTTTAAACTTTCTTTCTCTTTTGTCAGGCGTGATCGACACTAGATGGTTGTTGCTATCAAGTGGATGGATATGAAATCAGTGTTGTTTAGGTCAGTGGTGAAATCATGTAGGGATTAATTTTTAATTGTGTGCTTGTACTGATGCTTTTTGCGGAGTTTGGCAGTTTCTTCTTTTTAGCTGGATGTATCAACTGCTTCGTTTCTTGACTAAAATTTTTAAGAGGTATGTGTCACTTTTATGTTAAAAAAATTACTTTTACTGATTACTGCTGTGAATTTTCGAAAGAGCTTTTCCAAACCGCTCTTTATGCCCACATGTTCTCTTATGACGATAGATTTTTGAAGTAGAATTAATTGGTTTGTCTGTAATTGCATGCTTTAGTAAACCTGTAAAAGAAAGTCAAAGAAGAGAAATTGTGTTTGGTTGGACTTATGGACTCAACTTGGAGCCGTGAAAGGCCGAACGGTGGTTAATGTGTTATGCATCAGGATAGAGTCAGGTGGTCATTCAGGGAATTTGTGTGGAAAAAACTCTTCAGGGGTGACACTCAGATTATGGACATTTAATTTACTGTTGCCAGGGCAGGGCAGGGCAGGGCAGTCTTTCTGAGATAAGAACTTAATACTTTTTCCAACATACTATGGAGGTAAGGAAAATGTAATTTAAATTATAAAAAAGTTAATTTTTTTTTTAAAAAAATTAAAATTTACGAGGAGGAGTTTGAAACTCGGAATAGGTGTGAATGGTGGGGTCCAAACTCCGAAGAAAACATCCATTTTTATTTGGGTAAAGACGATATCTCTTTATTTTGTTCCTCATGATATTGACCATATGTCTCAATTAAAATGAAACCTAAGTCATTTTAAGGTTCGTTTTGCCAGGGAAATGCGAGGCTATGAATGCCAAAATTCGGCCGCCCATTGGGCAATTGGGCCACAGTACCCATGGGTTTTAAGTAGCAATTATTAAATTTAGTGCATCTTTTTCTTTCCTTTTGGAGGTTACATTTATTCGTAAATTGGAACTGTCACCCAACCCATTAAGGCTATAATTCAAGGGTTTTTTGCAATAAAAGGAAAAGTCAAACCTTTTACATGATTGAGATTAGGCCGTAGCCAACTCAGGAAGCCATAGAAGCGGGATAGATAAATTATGTTACAATAGAGGTTACATTATAATTATTTATCAATTTTATAAACAATTACAAGTTTATAATATTGTTTTAAACTTTGATTTCATTTTATAGCAACTTTTTTTTTAAAAAAAAATTAAAAGTAAATAACAAAAAGCAAAGTGGCAAAAACATCCTGCTAATCAAATTCTCTGCTACAATGTTGAGCATACAATCAAACTATTAGACTAGAATGCATGTCCCCCAAAAAGCAAAGTAGAGATTTTACAGAGACAAAATTCGCCTACATATAAATAAACCTCTAATTTCAGCCATTGCATTTAAGCTGAAATGCGTTCCATAAAAAAAAAATTAACAAAAACAAATTTGTGGTGAGAACAGAATTATGCCGTACAAACAAGCCTAAACTTGTCTACCGGCAGCATCGGCAACGAAGGGCAAGTAGGGAGTCCGACCCAGGATACTCCAAACCACTCCATAAACAAAACACAAACAACTAAACACGAAAACCCCAGTATGCCCCCACGCCATCACCCGGTATCCCCACCCGGCACGACCCGGATTCAGTATCCTTGTCAGCAACAACGGCACCACCAGCAGCACATCCAGTGTCACCGCCTGCATCGAATTGAACCTCACGTAATGGCTGAAACTCGGGTTTCGAACCACCCCCAGATACAAAGCGAAGAAGGCGACGAAGCTGGCATAAGGGACGGATTTGTACAGGCTTAAGAGGGGTACAAGAGGGTCGAAAAGGGTACCCAATCGAGGGTACTGGATAAAGAGATAGCGACCGTATTGGAGGGAGTTGAAGAACGGGAGAGTGTAGGCGGCGGTGGAGATTAGGCGATCTGTGGCCGGAGTTGGGTTCAGTGACATGCGGGTGATGGTGGGTCTTCGTGCAAGTCGGACCTTGGATTTTGATTGGTTCAGGAAGGTTAGATTGGGGAAGGGTTTTGGGTTTAAAGGGGAAAGTTTTGGGGTTAAGTGGAGAGAGTAACAGAGAGACGCCATTTTCCTTTTCTTTTTGAGAGGAGAAAGAAAATGGACTTTCAGATTTCAATTTTCTCAGTTCAGTGCTAACTGCGAATTTTAGGGCTGTTCAGAGGAAAAACGCATCGTTTAGATTTGTTTTTGTCTTCGTTTTTTTAAGTTCTCTTTCTGTCCTATTTTCGTTCTTTCACTTCATTTTAATTTTTAAGACATTAAAAAATATTTTAATATATATTTCAGATTAAAAATAATTATTCATATTTAGTTCAAGTGATGAAAATTAGATAAAATTAAGTTCGTTTTGTAATTTTTTATATAAAAAATATTTTTTATAACATAATTTTTTATTTTTAATAAAAATAAAAAATATGACATGTTTTAGAATATGAAAAGAAAAGTAGTAAATGTTTAGAAAAATGAAAAAAATAATTTTAGAACATTTAGAAAATCGTATTGATAAAGAAAATAAAATGAGGAAGTAACATTTATGATCCTACATTTTGTATAATAAATTATTAATATGTGATAGAAAACTCATGTGTTAGGTTTAAATATTGTGAGAATTATTTTAATTTTATTTATTGTATTCAAATTTTTATTTTAACAAAATTTTATTGATTATATTTATTTAATTTTGTTATGAAATATAACTTGAAAGAACAATTATACAAAAAGTATTTAGAGGGAAAAAAAGATATTTAAAGGGAGTAAAGATATTTTATTCAAGTATGTATTTACAAATGAAGTGATGAATCTATTTATAGACTAACTACCTCTTATTTAAATAGAATTTTCAAAATAAAGATAATACCAAGAGATTAGATGGATGAATTAAATTCTAATCTTAATTTCATCTAATATACATCCAAATCTAAATATACATAACATAAATGGATAGTTACAAAAATATTCATAAAATACCTCTTTAAATATCCATTGATATTAAGAATATGCATTGTTAAAATCTTATTAGGAAAAAACTTCATAGGAAAAAAACTGAGTGAAAGAAAATGAGTACATAATTATTTTCATGAATACATTTTTAAAATACTATCTCATTGAAAACTTTATTAAGAAAAACTTAATGGGAAAAACTTTGATGAAGGGAAAGAGTATAGTGCGTATTTTAGTTTCTTGATTATTGTATTATTGAGATCTTTAAAATGATGCATTATAATATTTTATACCAATTTTTCAAATGTTGTAATATGAAGGGTTTTGGTGAATAAATTTGTTAAATTGTCATTTGAATAGATTTGTTGAACACTAATATCAGATTTTTCTTGGAGATCATGAGCGAAGAAGAACTTTGGCGAAATATGTTTTGTCCTATCGCGTTTAATGTTTTGTCCTTTAATTAAGCTATGCAAGCAGTATTATCTTCATATAACGTTGTTCGTATTTTTTTCTTGATTGACGAACCACACGTTTATTGAATATATTGAGTTATATATCTTAACCAGACATATTCAAGATTTGTCTCATGAATTGTTAAAATTTTTACAAGGTTAGAAGAAGTAGTAAATATAATTTTTTTTAAATAACACTATGAAGTAGTCATACCTCCACATGTATATAAGTAACTGATTGACTTGGATCTAATTGCATTGATGTGTTTGTGTAAAATATGGATTTAAAAAAATTTTCTTTTATACAAAAGAAAACAACCCAATTACACAAACGTAAAACCACATCATTCATATTACAAGTAACATAATCACGTCCTAAAAAATAAGAATTTATTAAAGTATGATAAAACATACTTTTTATTTCAAGATTTTTATTTTTGGATATATAGTAAATTGTAGTAAATTCACCACCACATCAACGGTTAATTTTTCAACCAAACAAACTTACTTTTTTTCTTCAAGAATGCTTTTCAACTTGAATTTTGAATGGACAAGGTGTGGAATGCTAAATAAGATGGCAATCAATTTTGTTTCTCTTTTCTTTCTAAAAATTAATAGTTATTTTTCTTTCAAGTAATTGACCAAGAATGAAAAAGAGGAATACAGCAAAGTTAGGAGGAAGAGGAGAGAAGTGGCAGCATAGGCTTTCTCAAGAGAGATATGTTTACTCTTTTCTTCCAATATCTTTTCTTTTTATTAAAACTCTTGTCTCAAAAGTTTAATCAAAATCAAATATCTTTGAATCAATATTGACCATTCATTTTGAGTTATAGATGCATAAAATATGCTCCATAATTATCAAAATTAAAATTGAAAAATAAATAATTTAATTCTTTAATTATCATTTAGAGTTTTTGATAAAATAAAACTCCTTGTTAAATAATAACTCTTATTTTATTATTATCCATCTTTATTTAAAAAAATTAATAATAAATAAAAAAGTCCTAGTCAAAAATTGAGTCATCTTTTATCAACATGAATGTTCAGATTCATTTTCCAAGAATCCTCTTAGCATTATCTTAATTTAATACAACTTTTACCTTTAATTAAGATAAAACATGTTATCTTGTTTTGTCTAGATTGATATAAATATGTTTACATGTCTACATTACAACAAAATATGTTTTTCTTGTTTAAATTAAGAGAAACATGTTTTTTTATCTAAATTAAGATAAAACATGTTTTTTTATTTAAATTAAGACAAACATGTAAAAGTTACAATTTTTGTATATAAATTTAATTAATTAAATAAACATGCATTCCGACTTAAATAAATTAAATTCTACAAAGCTAAGTGGAGAATCTATTTGAACATAGATATTCCAAGCTCCAATAAACTTAGAATTATTCTTAATCTTATTAATATAATTCAAGTTTATTAACCATGAAATCACTCTACCATATATTCATAGTTGCACTTTCGGATTAACTATAATTACAAGAAATGATTCAATACTTGATATTCAATATTGGTTGTCCAATTGCAAATCTTATATTGTGAACCTTCTTAACCATCCAATGACAAAAAATGAAATTACCATTTTACTTTTTATATCAATTTTGTCCCTTAGTTTTAGATTTGATCCAATTAATGATCTAACACTCTAGATCTAATTAATCTTTTAAGTATCAATAATTGATGAGTAGTTAATTCATCAATCCACTAGGACTAGATTAATCAGTAATTTTTTGTGAAATTATTAGAAGTGATATTAATGCTATGAACTCCACCATTTAAATATATGTTCCCGGATGTTCACGTCAATTATACTCTCAACATACGAAGTCTAAATCAACCTTTTATGATGATCATGCACATGGTATATCACAGATTATAAGGAGATAAAATACAAGTCCACTATCTATCAATATTTCAGTTTTACCATAAGTAAATACATAAGTGTGAGATTAAGATTTAAGTAACTGTTAAACTTAAATTTGATTCTCACATGATTCTAATTCATGTTATAGTGTCTTTACTTGAAGTCAACCATTCTAGTGATTTGAGAGTTATCATTACCTTGAAGTGAATCACATTCATTTGATTGAAAGTAATTTGAATACTACGGTCTTAACACAATAAATGACCAGTTTTATTATATGATTGTGAATAATTTTTAGATTTAATTAACATACATGTCTTCTATGTATGACTCTTCATATAAATATATTTTAATATCTCAATAGAATCTTGGTACCATAATAATTAGATAAAGAATGCTTACTTAAAATGAATTCTTTGTTTTATTATCAAAATGTACTTTCATTACAAATAAATTAAATGAAATTAAACATGAGAATATACTTGTTTTTCAGGGCACCATATTCTTAAATTCCTAACAGTAAATTGATTAGGATCAAGCTTTGTATAGATTAAATAAATATTCTATATCTGCATAATCAATTAAATTTAATTTTGATACATTTAAGTAATGTAAACCCATGTCTATTGTTTCTTGGAGAAATTGAAATATATGTTTAATTCCATTGCAATATCTTTGAGTTGGAGAAGAACTATATTTTGATAATATTTATAGCAAATGATATATCAAGTTGTGTATTGCTAGTGCTTCGATTGTAAGAAGATATGGTACTTCAAGATTAAGAAGTTCTTCATCATCATAACAAGATCAAAAAGGGTATTTTTCACTTTTAATGACCCTACAACCATTGGTGAACTCAATGGATGTGTTTGCTTCATATAAAATCATTTTAGCACTTTTGCTATATAATTTGATTGTTGGAAAAAAATTTCATTTATTAAGTGCTCAATCTGAAGATCTAAGCAAAACTTTATTTTTGCAAAATCTTTCATCTCAAATTTTTTCTTTAAATAATCCACGACTTTCGATAACTATTTAGAAGTTTCAATAATACTCAAATTATCAACAATTATGACAAATTCATATTCAAATCTCTTTATAAAAACACATGAGTATCTAGGATCATTTTTATAACATTCTTTTAACAAATATTCATTAAGGCAATTATATCACATGCATCTGGATTGCTTTAATCTATATACATATTAATTTAATTTAATTGAATAAATTTTTTTGGGAATTGTGTATGTATTTCAAGTAATTTAAATCCTTCAGTGATTTTAATATAAATATCGGTATCAAATAAGCCATATAAATAGGCTGTAGCTACATTCATTAAACATATTTCAATCTTCTCATATATTGTTAGACTAGTTAATATAAAATTACAATTATAATTATCAGATCTTTGGGTAAAATCTTGTATGACAAGCCATGCTTTATATTTTATAATCTCATTTTTTTTATTTTTACATAAATACCCATTTATATCTGATTGGTTTTACACCATTTAGTGTATGGACTACAAGTGAAAAAACTTCATTTTTGTAAGTGAATTCAATTTTACCTTTATTATGTCTTTTCACATCAGCCAATTATTTCTATTTCTATATTCTTTAATATATATAAGTTCAGAATCCTCATTTTCTTTCATAACAGT